GAATAACTCGAAAAGTATTTGTTGGATGTACTTCGAATTTTCAGGGAGTATTTCAAAAAATCTAGAAAAAAATAGATATAGTTTTTGGAAATTTTGGCTATCCTTAACCTCCTGAACCATTTGACTTTGAGTCCATACATACCATCAAAACTCAAATATTCGCTAATTTTCGATAAATTTTAGACGGAGAGAATAAAAAGAGGCGAAACGATTTTGATTGTCCTAAATATCAAACCGATATGTGAACTAATGAATATTCCTGACGACACCAAAGGAGTTTTTTTAAACCTTAGTATCTGGAACAGTCTGCTTGCTCAACAACTTAGTCCACTGAATTACCGGTTACGATATCGTAATCGCATTGTAAGTGTTATTTTATTCAGGCTGGACCAAGTTGTTCATAAATAGTTTCATTGATAGCTGTGAGCTCTTATATGGCTTGATGATTGATGATTTCATATCGACATCTAAAAATAACTTCAATAATAAGAGTCATCAGCTATACAACTTTCCGCGATTGCGATATTAGCAAGTGCAGTTTGAGAGTCTTATACCCTGCATAGAAGAAACGAGATAGATCGGAGGTAATATAAGATAATTGATATAACACAATTTTCTTTCCTACATCTATTTTTAAGTTTTCGACATTAGAAGTGAAGTGTTTTCAGAGAGCTAATAGAAACACTTAATACTCCGGCATTTAGCCAGCATTATAAGTAATAAAATTTCGTACATATTAATTATTAATGAATTCCTTAAAACTAGCTTAGAGTATATTACGTCCTTGACATAGCATTACATAAGTTTTCCTTCGTAATTTGTAATTACCACAACCTTTTTGGCTCCACACACATATATTCATTGAAATATTCATACGTGTGGTACCTGGCTCTACCTAAATACCACTGTTATACCAGTTGGCACGCATACATAAATTTGTGTGAGTGGTTGAACCCGTGCCACCGCTGACTCTTTTCAAGGCCTGCTTCGCTTAATTAATAGGAAAAGTTCAGTGTAGTTCAATGTTTTCTCCTCCACTTTTTGCACGTCCTCTTTTGTTTTACTCTATTCAGTGTACGCTTTTATTTTGCATTTACTTTTATTGAATGGATTATGGAAAAGTTAAAACACATCAAAAAAGTTTCGTTGAGTACCACAGAATTATGTCATTAAGCTGACATTTTTAATAAAATTTAAATTTGTATTGCAGCAGGGGAGGGAATGCTGATGGTATATCAAGTGAAAGTCGCATTAAATGCATTTATAAAAATAACTACTTTCAATCTAAATAGTTTGAACATTGAACGGACATTTGTAGTTTGAAAGCGGTATGGTTTTTGAAGGGGCTTACCACCCACAAAAATAAAAATGAATTTGCACTTGTATGTCGAGGTGGCTTTTGGTTGGAAAAGGGTATTTTTTACTGTCGATGTTTACCAATGAAGATATTGAAAATAATAGAGTTGGTGAAAGTGGAGTACGGTGCAAGGTAAATTCATCTCGAATAACATTTTTAGCAATACGAAAAGGGTTACGTTTTTCTAAACAGCTTTATAATTGTGGCATGTTTTTTTACCATATACTTAACAGTATTTTGAATAAGTAGCATCTCTATTTCAAAATATATTTCTTAATTTCCAGAAATGCCTTGAAACCCTTTATTAATTTTATTTTTCGCTCACCGTTTCCTTTTTTATTGTCAGCTTTTTTTATAGATGGCAACTCGCTTTTTGTTTGATTTTCATATCTTTGACTTTAATTTTTTGCGGTACGTGGTAACATTATTTCTAATTGTATTGTGTGTGCAAATGGACATTATAACTTTTAAGTATGGTCGTGAAGTCTAAGTCGTTGACATAACTTTGGTTTATCAATTTAATGACCTTCTCCCCTCTTTTCGGTGATCCAGTAGCTTAAGTTTTTGTACTAAAACGGTCAAGGGATAAAGGGGTGCCCAACTTATTCCAATGTGAGAGCGCCCCAAATTTAGCCTTTCTTATAACATTTTGTATTATAGATCAGTCAAAATAATTGGGCATTTAAATTAAAAGACCCAAAATTTATTAAGATTTAAAATTTATTGACCGTTTAATATATGAAAAAACTATTTACAGATTTTTTTTTTTGATATTGTGATATATTAAAACAACTGATTTTTTAAATTTCAACACTTAATAAAGTGAATTTAACGTGTTAGCACTCAATTAAAAAATGCTTTTGCTTTTGCATTTTCAATTGATAATTAATAGTACAAAGCATCACATCAACAAACATTTCCTCAAATACATTTAAATTTTAGATTTTGATAATAGTCAGTGCTCGTGGGGGGTAGAAAAGACTTGTATTTGAGTGTGAATATATTCCTTCAGATTTTTCTTTAGACTTTCTAGTCTTTATATACAAATTTAATTTTATCTTATTGAACTAAGAGTACTGTATACATAATAATATTATGTGATATAATGTGTATAAATATGTTCTTGTGTGTATCCATTTAATTTGCAATACGTTAGCGTTGTTTTCAAGTGCACAGATTTATAATTCACAAATGTATTTTTTAAAACATGTGTTTTTATACTCTCGCAACCTGTTGCTACAGAGTATAAAAGTTTGGTTCACCTAACGGTTGTTTTTATCACCTAAAACTAATCGAGAGAGGTATAGGGTTATATATATATATATATAAATGATAAGGGTGAAGAGACGAATAGAAATCCGGATGACTGTCTGTCCGTCCTTACGTCCGTCTGAGCAAGCTGTACTGCAATTAGGCGTAATCGGACCACTGCCACGCTCACAAAACGCCATTAATCAAAAACAAATAAATTGCCATAACTAAGCTCCACAACAAGATACAAGACTCTTATTTTGTATACAGGATCGCAATAGGGAGGGGCATCTGCAGTTAAATTTTTTGTTTTAAGTGAACGTGGTCTCGCCCCCTAATAAGTTTAATGTGCATATCTCCTATACCACTGAAGCTATAATAACAAAATTCACTACAAATTTTTTTAGCATCTCTATGTGTGTATCGGTGTGCAAATGGGTTAAATCGGGTGACAACCCCGCCCACTCCCCATATAACGGTACTGTTAAAAAATACTAAAAGCGCGATAAATCAATCACTAAACACGCCAGAGACATTAAATTTTATCTCTGGGATGGTATGAGATGACTTTATAGAAACCGCGTTCAAATTAGACAGTGGGCGTGGCACCACCCACTTTCAGGTGGAAACCCAAATCTTGGAATCTGCTTAACCGATTTCAACAAAATTCGGTACATAACATTCCTTTCATATTTCTATGTTATAATGTGAAAATGGGCTAAATCGGAGTACAACCATATTTCCCATATAACACCATTTTAAATTCCATCTGATTCTTTCACTTTCCACTACGCAAATCAAGCAACAAATATTATATCGGCGTAAAACTTTGCGTGAATAATGCGTTTAAAGTATGCCACCTTGTGACTGAAAACTCTCTAAATCGAACTTACTGTTCAAGCCCCTAAGTACTGAAGATGTTTGTAATAATATTTTTACCGAAAATATCGGTCAATGCACAGTGGGCCAGATTTTGGCCTTTGATGCTGATGCTTGCCAAAACTATAATTAATAAGATAACGGTACAAAAATTAGTATACTCATGTTTTTTGATGCGCTGACTTCGAAAAACATAGTTTTAAGATGATTGAACGATTTCTTCAAGGTCATTTTAAGGTAAAACATTAAAAAAAATCGAATTTCGAACTAAAAATTAGTAACCTATGTTTTTTGATGCGCTGAATTTGAAAAACATGGTTTCAAGATAATTCAACAATTTTCTAAAGTTCTTCTGAGGTTAAACGACTGAAAAATTAAGATTCAACACTGAAAATTTGTGTACTTAAGACTTTGATAGCCACAGTAAAGAAACATATATATAGGCTACCTTTATACTTAAATTGAAAATTTGCCCTCGCCCAATTAGTTTCAATTTTATAAATTTACTTACGCGCTTTACCACGAGAAGGTATGGGGTGGGACTTTTAAACGCATTTCATTTTTGTTCTATTTTTTTTATTTTTAGTTTTTGTTTTTACTTTTTATATTTTATATTTTTTTTGGTATTTTTTAAATATTTTTATTGTTTTTTTTTACTTATTTTTTTTTTTTAAATTTTTTAAATTTTAATAAACTTTGTTTTATTCCTCATCTGAGGTTTCATCGTTTTCCGATTCTTCGTTTTGTGTGATAGTTTGTGGAATATCAGACATTTTCAAAAGAGCAGTGACATCAGCTGAAAATGATTTAGATTTTTTCTTGGAGTTTTTTGTAAGCTCGAAATTAAAGGATCTGATGAGACAAGAAGAATATTTAATAAATCTTGGTTTGTATGAGTTCGTGAAAACTTCCTTGTGTGACTTAGCCTGTACATTTTATAATTTTTGTTACCTGACTCCTGTGCTTCTTCTGATAACTGCCCTTCAACTGGATGGTTGAAAAATCACGAAGTCGCAAGTTGTCGCAAGATTTTTTGATTTGAGGTCACACTCTTAAGTGCCCTTAAGAAGTTCCTGACCGTGGTACTGCGCGGAAATGCACGGAACACTTGTTGTAGAAAAGGAAAAATGCCGTTTATTGTTCCCATTTAATTTACATGTAAATTAATAAAATTGCGAAATAAATAATATCACATTACTAAGAAACTAAACAAGATACATCAAAATGTTTCACATGCTTAAAGTCAATGCATCAAAGATTAAAAAATAACTTGTTTAAACCATTTTTGTTCACTCTTATTTTTTTGAGTTTTGGCCAGCTTTTTTGAAAATCTGGCCCACAGTGCAATGTGAAGGATATATACTTCATATAATGAAATAAATAAATGAAACCTTCGATTATAGTATGTTTTGTGTCAAAAATGGGTTGAATCGGATCAATACTTCCTTTAATATAAAATTTCGCCAACACCTGAAGTAATTGCCGGCTTTAATCCTGGCAAGTTGCGAGAGTATAAAATGTTCGGTTACACCTGAACCTAGAATTTCCTTGCTTGTTTTGTATGCATCTGCATTGCATCTAACTCTATGTTTATGTTTATGTAAGTATGTACGTTTTGTACTGTCTCGGCATTGTCTAAGATTTGCATATTTAAAGATATTTGAACATATTGCCGAGGGAAAATATTTTAATTAACGGACTTAGAAATGGTTGATTCGATTTTCTTTGCTGGTACAGACGTGATATTGGTTTTTATCAATATGATTCTCCATTGTAGCAGTTTTGCGAACCGTACTTGTTGGCTGCTCGTCATCGGCTACATGATCTTCGTCTTTTTTAGTGAGTATTGGATTTTGTGTAACTGAGACAACTTTGCGGTTTTTCGGCAATTGTGTTGGTTTTTTAAATTCCTCTTTCGCATCATAGCTTCAGCTTCGTCTTCTAAAGAAAATGCCAAGTTAATTTTTCATCTTTAAACTTAGCCACTTTATGTGCCTTTTCTTCAGAACTATCCCTACTCTTTTGTTTGTTTAAAATCACAGTCTCAATATTTTTAACTTTAGCTGCATCGGTAGTAGTTTTCTCATTAAAATATTTTTGTGTCTCCGAAATACGAAGCGCTTCTTACTCTTGGGTATTTTTTAGAACAATACTCATTCGGTTTTGTATTAGCGATTAATTTTTTTTGAAGAGACTTTATGAACAACAGGGCTTTAATTTTTACCTGCATTTTATTAATACAGGACGTTTCGTTGCCTGTATTTTAAAAACAGGTCCTTTTTTGTTGCCTGTACGTATAACAGGACTTATTTTGGCTGTGCTCTTTACTGGCTCGAAGGATCAATGATTAATATATTGCCTGTGAAGGACTTTTTTATATAATGCTTGTTTTAGAAATACAGGACTTTTTAAAATTGGGCGAGCAGCTTCTTGAAAATATGTTTGTATTAGGTTAAAAAAAATTCCAGAAAATAATAATGATGATGAAATGCTGCAACAGATATTGACAGGGACAAATGCGAAAACTGGAAGTTTCGAAATTAAGCTTGCACATTTCGACAAACCTGAGTTGAAAGTCTTAGACTTAGATTAGGTTTGGTTAAGAGGGCGATCTTAACAACGATCTCGCTTGGTTCGTTGTGGTATCTAAAACTCTTACATATTAAATATTGTAGATCATAAGATCCTTACAAATTGACAAAGCGCTTTGAGCCTATCGCAAAATTTCTTGAGATGAATGATGTCAATTTTGGCTAAGTCTTCTGGTTCATCGTAGGCAAACTACCGAGATGTTTCAAACTCAGTCTTACAAAGGCTAGATAATAGAGAAGAAAGTGGCTGGATTGCCTCAGATGAAGAAGATTGAAGTCAAGTCATGAGAAGCAAGTAACTTATTTGTTCTGAATCGAACTGGCTATGAAATATTTAGATCTTATATGTCAGATAGTCAATAATATTCCCATATGTTTCGGATGTCAACAATTGGTTTTTTCGTCACCAGATCCACACTTTTTATTTCTTTATAAATATAATTTCAAAAAAAATTGTTTATTTTGTTAAAAATATTTGGTTATAAATAATGGTAAGTTATATAATTAAAAATGCAAAAATGAAGAGGTATTCATATATCTACATTTATAAATCAAAAGGGCATTAATTAAATTGTATTTAATCTTCAATCTCTACTTTTAAACAGAAATAGTTATGAAGTTAATAGAATCGTAAGCTCAACGTCCAGGTTACGATAGTACGATAGTATTAGGTGAAAATTATGTCCACAGTTAAAGGTCAATACCTCAGAAACCACATGTACCTATACTCGTACCTGTATAACTCTCGAACAAACAGAACTTTATTCCAGCTGGTATTATTAAAAATCTCACCAAGCACACTTTTATCCGCATTGAATCCCACTAGACAGAAATATTTATAGCTATTTAAATCACAGTTTCATTAGCCGCATTAATTAAAGCTTTCCAAAACTTCTCTCTGTCAATTATTTTGAGCGCATTCCCAGTGAAAACGTGCGGTATTTACTTTAATTTAAAAGAAGTTCCTTCACAAATCCTGAAATTACCGCGTGCGACAACAAATTCTCGTTTAATCAATATTTTGAGTTTATATATATATATTTATATATATTTTTATATTTACATAATTATACATGATACAAAAGCTTCGAAGTGGAACACGAGAGACAAACAGACACGTTTAGTAGACCAAGCTGCAGTCAAACTTATCCAATCACACGTCCACTTCACCACTTTATGGGAGAAGACACAAGTGTAATAAGCGACTTAAGCCGAAGTAGGCGTGAAGATGCCCGTGTAATTTCGCTGCTTCACGAGCAGCTCGGTGCCTTACAACCTTTCGGCAATACATTGCGCCTGGTCAGACGGCGTCGTTCGACACTCCACTTTGGTAAACGCTTTCCCTTTGTTGCTGGTGTGGAAAGCGTTTGTAGCGATTACTTAAACAGTACGTGCTCGAATTCTCAGTCTCGTTGAGCATTAGTGCAAGTGTATGCGTGCGAAGGTTGGAGGAGTATTTAACTGCTTCAAGCATCTCCATACTAGTACAGTCATAGGTATATGTCATGTCTCCATATTTGTGTTTAAAGCGTTGGTAATATGCAGTTCTCACATTTGTGGGCAAGTAGCATCATGTGCGTCACACAACTTCATGCTGCCGCATATTTGTATTCACACGAGCAAGGAGCTCGAGCGTTCAACCTGCTGTGATATTGAAAAATTTGGAGCAAGCGCCTAGGCGCGCACACATTATTATGCCTCATTTTTAAGCCGCAGAGATTGTCATTAAAGCAGTGATTTCTATGCGCGTTTTCTTGTGACGTAAGTGTGTGTTGGTGGGTGTTGCCCTGTAACTAAACAGATAACTAGCAAAATTGTTGTCAAACGGTTTCTACCTTTCGCTATTTATAAGTATTTGCTATATGTGCACTTGTATCCATTTGAACTACTAAAGTGTTAGAATACATAAAGTGAAAGATGCCAGTAAGAATATTCAAAAATTTTCTTAATAATAAATGTGTAGGTAATACAAGATTTCCAAAACAGAGACAAATTTTAAACGATGTAGATAAGAAATATTGAATCTATAACCATTTTCTGCGGATTTTTTCGAAATTTGAGCGTGTATTTAAGAAAAATATGTGCAATAGAATTTTTCAAAGTATTGTTCATCCGAAGCTAAATTTCGCACCTTTCTAGCAAACCATCCAAAAAAAAACGTATCAAAGGACAGCCGACTTGGCTGATACCCTGTTCTGATGCGAACTGAACTATATTCCAGTGAGAGCGTTCTGTATCGACCGAAACAAATGATAGTCAGAAGGGGCAAGGTCTGGGCTATAAGGTGGGTGAGGCAGAACTTCCCAACCGCTGTTTTCCAAATACCAGGTATTTTTCAACAATTGCTCGCTTCAATTACATAGATGAGTTGTTGCCGGTAGCATTTCTTATTAATAGTTTTATCTGGTTTTAGAAGCTTATAGCACGCCCTTCTGATAAATTTATTGCCCCGATTGTACTACTGTGGGTGGTGGAGCAAAGTAATTTCAAAATCGGTAGTTATTTTAGTTAACTTCTGATTTAGGTTAAGTACCGGAAAATATATGATAACATATATTGTATATAAAGCAATTCAATATTAGCAGACATAGCCTAAAGCATATATTCACGTTTATATTTCTATAAATTTACTTAAACACGGCGAAAGATCTTTTGGACTTAGCACTAGATCATCAACCACACATATATTTATAATTATTATTATATTTATAAAAAATATTATTGTATTTAACATTGGTAGACTTCTGGCAGAGACTTCTTGGATTGCAACTTGGCTTTACTGTTCTTATGACGAGTCCAGCAGACGTTTGAGCGAGCTTTATTCTACACGGAAATGTCAATCCAACAAATGATATTGTATTCTACACAGTCAGTTACATATTTAAATTTGTATACACAGACGTGTCCTTTATTTGCTTTAAAAATTTCCAACAAGGCAGGCAGCACGAATATTTCTGCAGCCAAGGAAAGCACGCATATCTCCGCCCTCGCTCGGTAATTTCCAAGCGCTTGGGCCAGCACAAGGTCAAAGGGAAAGACACGACGATTACAATATTTTATGATACCCCATGCAATTGTGGAATACCGTTGAAGATTTAGCGCGGCAAAGTGCGAGGGTAACGCGAGAAATTGTGACACTGACCCGCCACGGCGCTGCAACAAAAACGAACAAGTAGCCCGCATTCTTGTTTTGTATAATTTGCAGGCAGTCTGACGCTTGAAGAGTAAAGGCCAGCATGGCTTTAAATTTAATTACCATTTTGCATCAAAAATATATTTGTTTGGGTTACTTGCAACTTAAAGGGGATTTTAAATCAATTTAGTTCAATGGACTATAAATTATTTATTTTCAACACGTTTGTTCGTAGGTCGCAAAGTCAATCAATTAACAAACGGTTCTAATTTATTTAATTTTTGATATATTATTTTATATTTTGAATTCCAATTGATTGTCGAAGAGCAGTGCCAATTCAATTACTTAAAATTCATAGCGATTAATTTGACATATTGCCGCTAGCATTTCAACACAAATCATCGATGAAATCTAATGTAGCGCGCACGTGACTCAAAGCTGGTTTTTAAACCTTTAATATGTTTCACCAACGCACTTTTTTATTCAATTATGCCTTTAGCATACTAAAGTCCGTGCAATGTTACCATATAAATCATAATAATATTAATTGCGTTAGTGCTTAGCTTGCGCGAGTTGGAATCTAGGTACAATAAAAGCTTAAAAGCTATGAATGTGCTTCAATTTTTCGTTTTACAAGCGTTGTGTGATTTAGCTACTTATGATTTAGAGTGACGAAACGAACAAGCAACTGAGCAAAACACAGAGGCGTCGAAACGAAGACTATTTGTAATAATCGCTAACCAAAGTTAGTGGAGAAATTGCATATCTACTTATTATATTTCATAGTGAAAATAGACAAACTCGGTAAAAATCACCGTCATCCATATAAAGTTTAGTTCGAAACTATTAAAAGCGAGAAACAGCTTCAGAAACAAATTGGTTTATTAATATTATACAGATTAACTTTATAACATATAGTACATCAGTCAATATGTGACTTGAAATAGCTTAAAAATTTCCCCAAATCCACATATTGCCACGTAAGAATGGAAGACATGTCTGAAAATAAACTAGACGCAAAGTATCGTCTCATACTTTCCTCCTTCGATTGCAATTCAATCAGAATTATATTGAAAGAATTTTGGAGATAGTTGGGTTATTAGTGACTTTGTAATTGAAAAGAAGGTTATGGAAAAATTATATTTGAAACCGCCATTAGAAATAGCTAAATTAAAAATCAAAGTAATATTTATATTAAAAGGATATCATATGAATATGATTATTTTTTCTACCAAAATGTTATACATTTTAAGGGCATTAATTAGAAACAATTCCTCAATGATTTCCAGTCCATGATTGGCTAATTGTACACAGATATAGACAAAACAACCAAGGCCATTTCAAGTAAATTTAATATACCCATCGGTATAACCCCTCCTCTGTGTAAAAGATAACCAAGTTTTCCCAACGAGGGCTCGAACTACCA